AAACCCATTAACAGCTACAAAGAGCAGGTTCCCGTGATAACATGTATAGATCTGAAAGTTAATTCAGGCATTGAGCAGGAGGCCTAGAAATGTATTTCCAACAAGAATATGAGAAAAACATAATATAATGATCTTTCATCATCAAAATTGAGTGAAATAACCACCTCCCTGTAATTGGCAAAGGTCTTACATTAACTGGACAGATACAATATGACCAGTTACTGATCATTATTAGTTTTCTTTCCAGTAGCTTCATGTTTGGTATGAAACACTAATTTGTCTTCTCAATTGTACAGATTGTCAAAACTATGTTTATTAGAAGATTAGAATTTGTCCTCCAATTAATTCCCCTAAATGCATAGTATGAATACAGTTAAATCTGTTTCTGGTTTTCTTCAACCAAAAATAAGCCTCTTCCACGTTTTTTTCTACATTTTTCTTTCACAGCACGCACCCAACGTATCTCAAACTAATTTTGTTCTGCCTGATGCAGGAAATATCACAGTACCACTGTTGCTGCTGTACAGTGACAAGTGTTTGGTAAGTGCTTAATTTTTGTGTTAAATATACTAAATAACAGGTGTTCAGCCATAATGTATTTATTATGGTGTCAAATGCTATATATAGTGTCAGTAATGTATAGTGATTTATTAGAGAGTAATAGTGAAGCAATCTGCTAGTGTCAGTAATAAGGGAACTCGCCTCTGAAGCATACTGTTCTTATCGTTTCCTTACAACCATCCTTACCCATGTTCTCATTTTCAAAAGAAGGATAAGCATTATAAAAGTTTCTTGTTTCACTTTATTTCAAAAATGGGACATCTGCTTTTGCAAGGCTGTGAGGTAGAACTTAAAAGCATTTCTAAAGGCAATGACAAATATTATTTGCAGCTGATACCCGGTCATTCCTTTTAGATTGCAAAACCCCTGCACCACACACTGTCGTTTTGTGGTAAGTTTATGATACAGTCACTGTTATGAGACATCTTAGGGGCACTTTTGAAGACAGTAAAGATTTGTTTAATGACAAATTTAATTATTTTTCTGCTTCTTCAACATCTCGGGGATCTGAACTGGGAGTAATTAGTCAGCTTCACTAAGGGGAAACATGTTTGTATCTCTGAAATAAATTACGGGATTTTTGTTTTTTTTCTCAGCTGAAAGTGAGATACTGCACCAAACAACAAATATAATGTGGCAAATGTTGATTCATACCAACACCAGTGCAGGTCCAAAATGTATACCATATGCAGAAACAGTACAATTTCATATTCCTTGAGCTAATGGAGAAACTCCTCTGTCTCAAAGCAAGCCATACACTAGCTTTTTGAACACCCATTATGCTCATTAAAGACCTGTCCAAGATATCCAAGTCTCAATCTACGCCCCACCTACACCCAATCAGCATGCTTCTACTTGCTACATCAGTGTTTATACTTTTTGGTGTATTAGCTGTTGCTTCTACAGTGCTGAATCAGTAACGCTGGGCACTGTTGTGGTAGTGGAAAATGTATTTATTTCTGTGACTGTGTTAAGTGGTATACAGAGAGGTGGTGTTTCTGAGAGGTCTTTTAGTCATGGATCCTCAAAAAAAAAACCAACACAAAAAAACCCCAAAACAAACAGAAAGCTGTTAGGTTTAAACCTTTTTAAATAACAGTATTTCATCAAGTACCGAATGAACCTTTGTTCAAAGGGGATATACCTGTTTTCATTCCAGAAAAACTCTGATTAGTAAAGAGCATGTATGCCACTGTGGAACGTGCCATAGATCAACTTCATGGCTTTCCTGAGCAAAGGTAAGCAGCTGAGTACTGAAGGCCAGAGACCCAAAGTATTAACTATGAGATTTTACTACTGTGTAGCATTTCCTGATACCAAGTTCTTTTCTTTGCGCTCTTCATCTTTGTTAAATTTACTGATTGTACCAAAACACATATGATGATCTTTGATTACAAGGTCTAAAAATTATGACTTCTTTCCACAGTATCCCCAGCTTGTTCTTCACTCCCGTAACCACCAAGAAGCCTGGAAGCAGCATATGCTTTACGGTTTTTGCCTTCTAATTTGTATCTTTTTCTCAACTTGCCCGTTACTTTAAGGTAACTTGTAGAAATGTTGTCTCTTTCAGACTTCTGCCCCTTCATCAATTTTGGATTAAATTGTCCAATGTACTCAAAAGATACTTAGGGCACCTAGAGTTATTTTAAGAAACAAGACTAGGAGCGCTCGCATTTTTTCACTGTGATTTCCATTACAGCTGTTCTTCATCACAACAGCATGGCTTATTTCGAAAAGAGGATGCAGAGACCTAAAGAATTCAATTGGAGCCATTAGTGTACTATAAATGGCAGTGGCAAAATTTGCCAGCTAATGGTAGCAATATGTATGTGGAAAGGAGAAAGTAGATGAAGTAATGTTCTACTTGAGGTACAGGCTTGTGGTTTCCTATGAGCTTCTAAGGGTTTCTTTGAGAGCATCAGTAAGAATTATGCATCCTCTGATAAAAAGGCCTGTGCTGGTTTTGGCTGGGAGTTAAATTTTCTTCATAGTAGCTAGTATGGGGCTATGTTTTTGATCTGTGCTGAAAAGTGTTGGTAACACAGGGATGTTTTCATTATTGCTGAGCAGTGCTTACACAGAGTCAAGGCCTTTTCTGCTTCTCACTGCACCCCACCAGCGAGTAGGCTGGGGGTGCACAAGAAGTTGGGAGGGGACACAGCTGGGACAGCTGACCCCAACTGGCCAAGGGGATGTTCCAGACCATATGATGTCATGCTCAGCCTACAAAGCTGGGGGAAGAAGAAGGAAAGGGGGGACTTTCAGAGTGATGGTGTTTGTCTTCCCAAGTAACTGTTATGCGTGACGGAGCCCTGCTTTCCTGGAGATGGCTGAACACCTGCCTGCCGACGGGAAGTATTGAATGAATTCCTTGTTTTGCTTCACTTGCGTGCGTGGCTTTTGCTTTACCTATTAGACTGTCTTTATTTCAGCCCATGAGTTTTCTCAGTTTTCTGATTTTTCTCCCCCATCCGACCGGGGGCGTGGAGTGAGTGAGCGGCTGTGTGGGGCTTAGTTACCGGCTGGGCTTAAACCATGACAATTCCCTGGGCCAAAAGACTGAAGAATAGAGCTACTTCATAAAATACTGACATTCGCTGACAATTATTTTTCTCCTTTAATACAATTTTGCCACTGTCCTTTTAATTTATAGTGTGGGAGAGAGCCCTGTTACCTTTTTAATCTCTAATCTTATTTCCAGGTTAGAGTACAGATTCTGCTTTAGTCAACTGACTTGAGTTGTATGGAGTTATGCCAGGAAGAGACATGAGTAAGGTTTAAGATGTGTAGAGTTAAAAATGAAGAACTATGCTTCTCAGTGTAAAACATCCAAACCCTCACGTAATCTGCAATATACTTTAAAGGGCTAAGGCAGATCTTTGTATATCATGGAGCACCAAGTGCTGACAGAGATTTACATTCACCTGGTGGTCTCCTGCTTCTTTCTCTAGTTGTCCTCCTACATTATCCAGCCCACCGCAAGTGAGAGTTTAATGCTGTTGCCTCTCACGATTTCATTCCATCACTAACTTTGTTTTTAATGACAAATAAAACTTCCAAGTCCCGTTTTCATTTACAAAGTGTCTTGACTTTACTCTCAAAATGTTAAGTAATAGCTCGTGTGCGTATTTCACCTCAAAGCAAACTTGTGTAAAAAAAATATTTACAAGAGGGAAGGCCCTTTATAACATCATCAAAAGAGGGAAGAGACACTACTGTTGCCCATGAACTATTAAACTACTTACTGCAATGTTTCCTGGCTGCAATTTCAGTTTGAAAGCATCTTAAGTGCTTTGATGAGTCCCTCTGGCAAGTCTGCTCGCCCTTCACCTCAGATGATCCCGTTACCCCGCCACGTAACAGCCTGAATGCTTATGCACGTAAAACCGGCTCTCACAGGTTCAGGGGCTCACCCGTGCCGCTGCCTCAGGCTGAGGGCTGCCTAGTTCCTACAGCAGCAATAAGGCACCCGTCAGGCGGCGTGGCAAGCGTCTGACAACCGCACGGACTGACGCCAGCTACGGGCCGTTGCGGGGCGAGGGAGAAGGTCGAGCAGCTCGCCTGCGGCAGCCAGAGGGAACCAAAGAGGAGACACCGCCGCGGCTACAACAGCTAGGCCCCGCTGCAAGATGGCGGCCCTCCCGGCCCGCCCTACCTCCTCCTGCCTCGGCCAAGATGGCGCCGGGACCCCTCCCTTCGCCTAACGGCCTCCCCGCACGCGGCTCGGCGGGCCGGGCGCGCGCCCAACCGCCAGCCC